AATGCATTAGCATAATCAAGAGGACAATGATACGTGAACTATGCATAGTTTTTGGAATATAAACAATAAAGTTTTTCCATAACAAGATACATTAAAAACGTTGGGGAGTTACACACAAAGTGGGGTTTTGTAAAGATCCACCAGGAGGAGAATTTGTTTTTTTTTTTTTTTTTTTTTTTTAATGAAAGCAGGATAAAACAAGCCTCAAGTCATACCTTTTGGAGGATTGAATACAACACTTATGTTGTCGCGCTCAATGGTGTTCGCGGACACATGACCCATGTTGCATAAGTAGCCATCACTGGAGAAGCACCACTTGACAGGAAAGCCACACACAGCACCGCTCTTGCATGTCGACTCGAAAGCGCAAAACCATGCAGTGTTGACGCTTATGGCGGTTATGTCCACATTGATTCTGCACATAACTGCTCGTTCCAGTGCTTGGACATTGTCTTCCACTTCTCCCAAACTGAAGGCGGGTATGTGACACATGATAACACATACATATAATGTGATTAAACTATTGTTACATAAATAGCTGTTTCAGAATATTCACACACGAATCGAGCATTGTTCAAAACAAGCGAATGTACAAAAAGGAATTGTAAGTACACTTACCTTTTTTACGAGACCGAGATCCCCACCATTGATAGTATCCGATGACAATCTTTGCATAACGCTGGCAATGACCACCTTGTCGGTAATCTTCATGACCCTGGATCTAAACAATATAAAACATATAGAGTGTGTCGCGCATAAACAATTATGATGAAGAAGATCTACTTGATGGTGAACGTAATATCGATTATGCACAACAAGAAGAACCATAAGTAGAAGACATGAGGAACGAGGAAAGTGGGTGTTATGAAGAAGTCTAAGAAATGGAAAGAAGAGAAACAGATAGAGTTGAACGCAAGATAAAATTAAAAAAAATGCGATTGTGCTAAAAGAACACGATGTGTAGTTGGAGCACAAAACCCTACAACCATAACAAAAAAGTGTTGGAAAATACACACCTCTTTGTAGTAAAGATCTGCTTGTCTTCTTGAAACATCTTGGTAATCCACAAGATTACCGGCATTTCTGTAAGCTCGGTGTTGGTGATGTTCATGCACTATCATGAGAATGCGGTCTGCCATTGAGCCTAGAGCGGTTAGGCCAAACTTGCCACTCTTATCATGCACAGCACATAGAACATGCCTCATTTTGGCGGTTAGATCCTCTAGAGAGATAGTTAGCTCAACAACGAATGAAGAAACCTGATGCAGTAATGAAAAAGCATGATAATACCAAAACAAAACAATAACGTGATAAATAATCAAACAGTGGGGAGATGACAAATATGGTGGCTGTAGAGATGTGCTCTATATTGCAACAACACATAATATGATGAGGCATGAGTACTAACCTGACGAGGCGTGGACGGATCAGATGAGTACATCGCAAGCAGAGGAGTAGAAGTGAATGCACTCAGAAGAATGTTGTACTCCTCTACCGTCATCCGTGCATGTGATATGCGGTGTTCCCAGACAAGAATAGTCCCCAACCTCCCAATCGACCATCTGAACACATATGTAAGACAAAAGAGAAGATTTGATAATGAAGTTGTTATAGTAGATTGTGATTGAAGTAGAGAGTTAATGCAGGTGTAAATACTGAAACATCATGGAATAGGATTGCTTAATATTGAAAAAGAAGGTAGTAAACAAGGATACCAAAGGGAGTGCAATACTAAAGGAAGGCTGTCATAAGAAGGTGGAGAGAAAGATGCATTGAAGCGTCAGAAGGAACCTAGGTAAGTTAAATTGGAACTGGGGATGATAAGCGTGCATTATCGACGATAATATGAGATAGCAGAAACTCATGTACAATTATGCATGCAACATATGTACGAGATGCTTACCTCGGATCCTTCGGGAGCTCGCACTTGACGGAGCTGAAATCGTAAGTTGCTCCAAGAATGAACTCCCCAATTGTCTTGTAGCACTTGTCAACAGTCCATTGAGCTGGGGGTTTATACTCCGGCCAGAATAGCATCTCCACGACTTCTCTGTCTGCGTCCATCAGGAACAGCTTTGTCGGGTACAGCTTCGGCGGGTTCGACATCGGCTTGTCCAGATCAGGTGGTTGAGCTCCAATCACCTTAGCGCGCACGGAGAAATTCAAGACAGGAGTACGCTTGTGCAAAAGTTCCGCAAGCTTGCTGAAGGTAGCAACCTTATGAGGCTGCAATTCATCCAAGAGAATGGAAGAAAACCATAATGAGATACAGATATTTAGGCAAGCTTGATAAGGATTGAAGCGATACGGCGGAAAGTGACAAGGTGTGAAAACCAAACGAAAGGAACAAATATAGCAAGAAGCTCATAAGGAACAATACACACAACATTGGAAACGATTGAGAGGGTTCGATGAAAGAAGAGATGAGCAAGATTTGCATGAACAAGAAGCAAATGAACAGTCTATAAGAACACGTAACTGCGCATAGAAGTATACGAGGAACCAAAGGATCAAGTGATCTTACCACTGCAAATGTACGCTCATTGTACGAAGGGCGACCTGTGTGGACAGGTAAACGCATGCAAACTTCACTTTATGGCGACATAGATCGGAAAGTGATCGCTGAAATACTTTTCACCAACAAATACGCTTGCGTTGAATTTAGAAGTATCAACCCACACATGATCAATAAGCGTGCCACGCACGGTAGTTGCGGACTTAACACATTGCGTTAAATTAGTATCTTTGAAAAGGTTGCTCAATGGTTTCGGAATGCATGTTGAGAACTCAACATTGAAGTCTCCAATAATAATTATATTCTTAATGGGAATAACGCTCATAATATGCCGCAATAAAGAAAGAAAAATCGTATGGGATGAACGTGGATTGCGGTATACACATAAAACATACGCATTTGGCAAGGTTTGATACTCAAGAATGACATACTGGATTTTGTCGTATATGGCTTGTGAAAATATTGAGATGTTGGCATCGTTAAAAGCAACAAGCATTCCCCCAAAAGCGCAATCTTGACGGAATACTCTCAAGTTTCCGAATCCTTCTCCGTGACACTGGTTATGAAAGGTGTATTTCCAAAAGCACGACATAATCAAACTCTTGGAGTACTGGATTGACATACCGAAAAGGATCCTTTTTGAATTTGCGTATATTTTGGCATACAAACTTAGCTTGTGCAGTGGTAGATGCAATGATATCCACAGGAGTAGGTACAAGAGTTTTTTTTTTCTCTCCGTAAATGTTCCATCTCTTTTATCACTTCTTTGTGCACATTGACGGAATGCTTAATAAAGTTCTCTAAATATAGGCTCAGTGAAGACTTGAACCTACTTAAAGCAACGTACGCCGTATGATGAAATAGGCCTCAATGGAAATGAACTACACCCAAACAAAACGTTGAACCTTGACTGCGATATGCACACTAATAGCATCCCTTGGGCGAAGAGGAAATTGTGATCGAGATATTGTTTGTGTACGATTGATCGGAAAATCTCTCTTTTGTCTTACAATTGGAGTATATTCCGAACGTCTAATATTCCACGGAAAAAAAATTGAACGATTATCATGTCGGATTCTTTTGCCAACACGAGCGTCATCAAACAATACCCATATAACAACTACCTCACCCGTTTCATCCCTCGAGAATATTTTAACACAACCAGGAGTGCCATTGGCAATGCCATTAGTCGTGTCCACATTTAGTACAATATGGATCTTACACCCAATATACATGCAGAATTAGGGATACAATCCAGCTGTTTTTTTTGGATTACGAGGAGCGAATCTTGAAGGTTGGTTATAACGAGCCGCTGATTTAGCAAACAAGTGCAAGTCATGTGCTGGAAGCACATACTTCTCGTTTGTTCAGGCGTCGAAAACTTTATCATTTTGAGCATCGATATCAACATTTTTGCAAAAGATATGTTGCATTCCATCGAGCGTGGGACACGCTCTATTCATTGATGAAAAAAAGGAAATGTCATGACTTGTATGCTTACCTTCTCTCAAACGATTGAGACGTTCAGCAAACACCCGCTTGTCCTTTTGACGCATGATAATCGTTAACTCAACCATTTGAAACAACCTCCATACATTACCTTCAAAGAGTGTGTTGGATTACACCGTGTCCATAAAACAATATTGGTCAACAACAGGTGGTAATTGCTATAGATCACCAACTAAAATGATGCGAACTCCACCAAAGGGTATATGTTGTATGCCACGTAGTTCACTTATCGCCAATCCAACCAGTGAAACAAATGCTTACCGAGCATTGAAACCTCGTCGACAACAACAACCCTGACGTCGCCAAAATGAGACCGCAACGAATTGAGACAATCCGAAGACAAATTATAAAGTGTTCAAATTCGGGAAACTGGAATCATTCAAGCATTATGTAACGCATAGCTGCTGATATTAAACGCAGCAACGCCAGAAGGTGCCAGCTTTAAAACTTTGATCGAAGATGGCTTAGTACATATAGATGCATTAAACACACGACTTAGCCTCTCTGTTACCACATTGATTAAAACAGATTTTCTAACTCCGGCTCCACCCGTTATGAAAATTCGAAATGACGATTTTCCACATCGGACATGGTTCACAATATGGTCGCACACTGAACGTTGATTGGGATTCAAAGAGTCCTCCAACTGGATGAATTCGTCATCGTCAATACTTACCTGAACAAAAATATCCACATTCGTTTTCGGGTGGTCCTAAAAATTTAACTCATTTGCTATATCGACGTTTTCTTCACTAGCGTTTGTTTGTGCAGAGCTTGTAATAATTGTCTTCGTTTCATTATGCTCTGCCTCTTTGAAAGCTTGAGCCCAGATGTCTCGTCCAGTTGGGTACTCACATCCTTTTGCATCGATCATGCTTTAAAACTTGTGCGTTTCTATACAGCTTGTCCCATTTGTTGGCTCATTTCTAAATGGATAGAATAGTACAACCCGTTCTCGTACATGATTCATAGGATCTTGACCTTTATGATAGTTGACAAATCTTATAACTTTAGTCTTCTGACGTTCATAATAGTACCTCCCCTTACTCGACAAGGGGAGAGAGAGAGAGAGGGAGAGAGAGAGAGAGAGAGAGAGAGAGAGAGAGAGAGAGAGAGAGAGAGAGAGAGAGAGAGAGAGAGAGAGAGACAAAGAGAGAGAGAGAGAGAGAGAGAGAGAGACAAAGAGAGAGAGAGAGAGAGACAGAGAGAGAGAGAGAGCGAGAGAGAGACAGAGAGAGAGAGAGAGAGTGAGAGAGAGAGAGCGAGAGAGAGTGAGAGAGAGAGAGAGAGAGAGAGAGAGAGAGAGAGAGAACAGAAGAGAGAGAGAGAGAGAGAAAGCAACAAAGAGAGAGAGGGAGAGAGAGAGAGAGAGAGAGAGAGAGAGAGAGAGAGAGAGAGAGAGAGAGAGAGGAGAGAGAGAGAGAGAAAGAGAGAGAGAGAGAGAGAGACAAAAGAGAGAGAGAGAGAGAGAAACAGAGAGAGAGAGAGAGCGAGAGAGAGCGAGAGAGAGAGAGAGAGAGAGAGAGAGAGAGAGAGAGAGAGAGAGAGAACAGAAGAGAGAGAGAGAGAGAGACAAAGCAAGAAAGAGCGAGCAAGAGAGAGCGAGAAGAGAGAGAGAGAGAGAGAGAGAGAGAGAGAGAGATGGAGAGAGAGAGAGGGGGAGAGAGAGGAGAGAGGAGAGAGAGAGAGAAGAGAGAGA